CAAGGCCAACCTGAACTACAGTGTGAGACGCTGTCTCAAAAAACCAAAAGGAGGGCCCTCAAGATGGCTTGGTGGGTTAAGGCACTTGTCGCCAGAGGACCCAAGTTCCATCTCTGGCACCCAGGTGGTGGAAGGCGAGAACTGACTCTCACAAGTTGTCCTCTGCCCCTCCCAACAGTAGGTGAACAACTAAATGTAATAATAAGAAAAAACAAAACAAATGCTGACAAAGATGAGGTATTCAAGGCTGGTGAGAGTAAACTGGTGCAGCCACTGTAGAGATTATAGATACTCCTCAAAAGCTAAAAATATAACTATCACATGAGCCAGGAGACCACTAGGGTACATACTCAGAGGAGTTTGTCAGCATGCCAGAGAATACTGCACATCTGTGTTATCAGCACTGTGCACAATAGTCAAGACATGGGACCAGTCTAGATGCCACCAACAGATGAATGGAAAAAGAAAATGTATACACAGTGGAATTTTATTCAGTCATAAAGAATGAGTTTATGCCATTCACAAGAAAATAGATGGAGCTCATCATATGAAACGAAATAAGACTCAAAGACATCATGTTTTCTCTCATGTGAAACTTAAAAAAAGATCGGAAAATAGAAGAAATGGGGGAAAAGAGTTGTAGGGGAGGGTAACAGGGCAGAGGGTAGATATTGCCAATGCATATAGACATGTATGGAGACATTACAGTGAGACCATGAACCTGAGCAATTAGTATGTGTTAATGAACTAGGTGTGGGGGTGCTCATCTGTAATCCCAGCACTGGGGAGGCTGAGGCATGAGGATTGTTGAGTTCACGGTCAGTCAGGCCTATGTATTGAGACCCTTCCTTAAAAAAAAGTGGGGGGCTGGTGACATGGCTCAGTGGGTAAAGTGCTTGCTACCAAATCTGATACCCAGAACCCACATGGTAAAAGGAGAGAACTGACTCCCTCAAGTTGTCGTCTGACTACACATAAGCCATGGCATGTGTGAATGCCCCACCCCCCACAAATACATGTAAAAAATAATAAAGTGCATTTTTTTTTTGGTCTGAGTCAAGGTTTCCCTGTAGCCCAAGCTATCCTGGAACTCACTATGTAGACCAGGCTGGCCTTGAACTCACAGAGATCCACCTGCCTCTGCCTCCAGAGTGCTGGGATTAAAGGTGTGCGCCACCACACCCGGTTGTAAAGTGCATTTTTTAGAAGCCAGATTTAGGGTCTGGAGAGATGGCTCAGCAGTTAAGAACACTGACTGTTCTTGCAGAAGACCCGGGTTTGAATCCCACAACCCACATAGCAGCTAACAACTGTCCATAACCCCAGTTCCAGGGGATCCAACAACCTCTTCTGTGGGCATTGCACGACACGGGTGCACTTACCTACATGCACGCAATACACTCATACACATTTTTTTTTTTTTTAAAGAAAGCCAGATTTGGTAGCACAGGCCTATAACCCAGCACTTTGGAGGTGAAGGCTGGAGGATCAGGAGTTCAAGGCCAGCATTAGCTAGCTACATATCGAGTTTGAGGCCAGCCTGGGTTACATGAGACCCTGTCTCAAAAAATGAACAGATAAACCTGGGCAACTCTGCTCTGTAGCCAACTGTAGCCACTCATTCCAGAGTGAGCGGAATGCCATAGGGTGTCAGCAGAGTTATTTCAGGGACTCGGCAGAGAGACTGTGGCAGTGTGGCCATCTGTCTTTTCCACAAGTGCTGGGGTCTTTCCTGAAAGCTGAACATGGAGTGCGGATGTCCGCTCTGTCCTGAGAAGAACTATGCAGCTGTTTCCCAAACAAAGGGTGGTCAGGAAAGAGGCTCCCAGGAACCAATGTTTGCATCCTCGCATCCCAGGACAGCAGGCTTCAGCATGCCACACGGAGACTTTTCAAGGCATCACAGAGGCCAGGAGATGACCAAGGAGCTGAGATGCACACCCAGTGTCTTGTGAAGACTGGATGAAGGATGGGATGAGGCACAGAGTGACCTTCGTGACCTCACAGTCAAGTAAGAGGCTTTGATGGAAAAGGAGATTCTTATTCTCCCTCCCCCTGCCCCCCTCTTCTCTCAGGCTTGCTTCAAAATCTCTGTATAGCCAAGGATGACTTTGAAATCTTGATCCTTCTTTCATCTTCCAAGTGTTTGGATGATAAGCTTGAGTCATTACAACCAGTTTCCACTTACTATTTAATTTAAATTTAAAATGAGTAGGGGCTGGAGAGACATCTCAGAACTTAAGGGTGCTTGCTGTTCTTGCAGAGGAACTGAGTTTGATTCCCAGCACCCATGTTGGACAGCTCACAACCACCTGTAACTCCAGCTCCAGGGGACCTGATGGTCGCTTCTGGCCTCTGTGGGCACCGGCATGCATGTGGCATGCACACACACACACACACACACACACACACACACCGGCATGCATGTGGCATGCACATACACACATACACACACACACACACAAAACTTTAAATAGAAAAACATGAGTGGAGGGCTCCTTTCCAACCTACAGCTCAGCATTGTACCATCAGACATGGTCCCCTGTGATCCTTGTGTGTTTAGTGGACAGCACCATTGCCAGGATACCGTGGAATGAATACTCAGAAGCTTTTCAAGTTTGTTTTCTTCACTGAAGATTTCCCCATAGTCTTGTTTATAGTCAATGCAGGAGGTAGACGGCCATACCACAGAATGAGCCCCTTGGGTTTTCACTGAGGGCTCCAGAGAAGTTCAAAGGCAAGAAAGAGCAATGGGATCACAGACCCCAGACTTGGTTAGTAGCAAGTACATAGGTATGCAGCAGCAGGTAACTGAAATAGTCTTCAAAATGGAATTCAGACTGATGAGTAAGAATTAAGCATGCCTCACATGGGCCAGGTGGGCGGGGGACATGGAACACACCCCCTACCTCCCAGTCCATTACCAAAGATGAGAATATTGACTTTTCAATATAGGCCAGAAAACTAGCTTCTCATCATTCCAAGATAATAAAATCCATCAACATCCTTGGCTTTCTAAGATTCCAGTAGGGATTTCCAAAAATGTTTAAGAATATAATAAATACCCCCCAAGTTTTTAAAAGTACCTATGAACTATTTGATGGAGAAATGACAGCTGCCTTGGATGCTTCTGGATTACTATAGCACAAGGAAGTAGGGCAGAAAGGCTGCTACAGTGTGGGTGCCTAAAGCCAGTAGGATATACTATGCGTCACTGTGATGTCTGAAAACATCCACAATAAAAAAACGAGACATACATAAATGCCAATTTAAAAAGTAAAGATTCCCTGGCCACATGAGTTCCTTCAAGTGAGGAATATAATCTCACCTTGGAAGATGAAGATAACCTAGCCACTGTTCTAGGAAACTAATGTTCTCAGACAACTTTTAACAAAACTCTAAAGTGTCTTTTTATGTGTATGAGGGTACTGTTTGCGTGTATCAAAGTGCATCCATGTTGTGCAGTGCCCCAGGAGGTCAGAAGAGGGCGTCGAATCCCCTAAAACTGGAGTTACAGGTAGTTGTTAGCCGCATGTGGATGCTGGGAATTGAACCTGGGTCCTCTGCAAGAGCAGTCAGAGCTCTTAACTGATGAGCCATCTCTCCAGCTCCCTAAAACCAGTGTCTTAAAGAAGCTAATAAAACCCAGAAACAGCTGGCCATAGCTGCCACAGCTCTGGCACGAACGGTTCTGATGAGCAGTTGGACAGATCAAGGAAAAGACTCTTATCTCAGGAGGTACATGAAAGTTATTAAAAGTTCACAGGTGCTGGGGATGAAGAGATGACTCCCGGGTTAAAAGCACTGGCTGCTCTTGCAGAGGACTTGGGTTTGGTTCTTAACACCCACATGATGGCTAACAACAGTCTGTAACTCCAGTTCTAGGGGACCTAATGACCTCTTCTGGCCTCCATGGGCATTATATGCATGTGGTTTTAATTTAATTACATGCAGGCAAACATTCATACACTAAATAAATAAATAAATAAATAAATAAATAAATAAATAAATAAATAAATTTATTTAAAGCTCACAGGCGCAAATGAGCTGGGTGTGGTGCTGCATGACTGTAATTCCAGCATTGGGAAGCCAAGCAGGAGGAGAGTCCAAGGCCAGTCTGAGCTACATAGCAGGAAAATGTCTCAAAAAAAAGAAGAAAGAAGGAAAAGAAAAACCCCCAAAACAAAAAAACAAACAAAAAAAACCAATAAAAAAAAAAATGCTTCCTGAAGACTCAAGAGCCTGTGGGACATGTCTGTCTGAATAGTTATCACCACACTGACCCAAACTCAATCCTGTCTTGCTTCCCCAGAAGGCAGCACTGTCTCCAGTGCTACTATTGGTCACTGGATGAGGATGGGCAGCATTTGTGGTTTAATCACAGGATCACTCAAAAAACAACTCGTTTAGTTCCAGCACTTGGGAGGCAGAGGCAGGAGGATCTCTGTGAGTTCCAGGCCAGCCATAGCTACGTAGTGAGACCCTGTCTTTTAAATAAATAAATGAATAAATAAATAAAAACAGAAACAGGTCGACTGGATCAAACCCAGGGCCTTGCACATGCAAAGCACTTTACCACTGAGCTACATGCCCAACCCCATATTAATTTCTCTCTCTCTCTTTCTTCACACAGTCTCATTATGTAACTCTGGCTCTGGCCTGATGTACTATGTAGACCAAGGTGGTCTTGAACTTGCAGAGATCCTCCTGACTCTGCCTCTCCCAAGTGCTGGGATTAAAGGCATGTACCACCATGCCTGGCTCAAATTTTTTTTCTTCCCTTCCTCCCTCCCAGTGTCTCCCTGTAGCCCCAGCCAGCTTGGAACTCACTATGTAGACCGGGCTGGCCTCAATCTCACAGATATCTGCCTGTTTTTGCCTCCTGAATGCTGGAGTTAAAGGTATGTGCCAGTGCACCTGGCACCCACAATTTCTTAATGAGCAATATCATTTGAAGATGAACTAGAGTATTGGGTCTCTTTAAAATGAGCACAGAACAATTTAAGATTTGAAACAGGCAGTGCTGCCCTTATACTGAATTCCAGGAAAAGCAAGTGAACAAAGGGTCTTCTAGCAGGGAGACAGCTGAGGCTGAGGGGGACATGGAGGTAAGCAGGGAGGACGGATTGACCATGGGCCCACAGCAGCTTTCACACTGACCCCAGCAAAGTGTCTTACAGTCCACACAGCAGGACAGTGTGCCGTGCAGGAGAAACTAGGATTCATTTTATTTCTGGATGTTAGTGAGTCCTATGGGTCTAGCATTTTAGGTGTGGAAAGGGTGACAGCAATTATCACACTGGCTGTTACTGCCAGAGTCCTTCCATCTCGGGTCATGTGTGCAACCAATACTAGGAGAAAAGCCCATTCCTGTTCACCAACTGCATTTCCTCTGAGTAAAAAAGTTAAGCTTCACTGAGTGCAAGGCTCTGTGATGTCACACTGGCTCTGTGCTGTGGGAACGTGCCAGGCTGTGTGCAGCACACATTGTGACTTAATGGAACATGAGGGTTGGATGTGGGGTGGGGATCTGCATACATGTGACATTTAAAGGAACTGTCTGCTGAGTTAGGTTTGCAGTACATCTGTTGGACCCTGTCTGCCAGCGTGCACTGTTTTCCCATGAAGATCTACGTCTGTGCAGAGTAGAAAAAGATGGTAGTAAAAAACTCCAGCCTCTTCAAGCTCCAGCAGCGGTGTGTCCCAGAAATCACCATCGAACCTGAGAAACATTAAGAGTGATTAGAAATCTATACCATTATAAATTGGCTGACAGATGTGATGGCTTCTCCTTTGGTCTAGTGCTGGTTTACACTGCTAGATAATGCCACTGTTAGCCCGGCATGGTAGCATATACCTGTAACCCCAATACTTGGGGGACTGAGGCAGGCGGATTACCATAAATTGAAGGCCTGCCTTGGCTGTATAGTATGTTCCTGGGCTATAGTCAGAGACCCTGTCTCAACTTTGTTGCCAAAAACAAACAAACAAACAAACAAACAAACAAACAAACAAAGCCCCACCAAAATAGCCAGGCGTGGTGGCACATGCCTTTGGTCCCAGCACTTGGGAGGCAGAGGCAGGCAGATCTCTGTGAGATGGAGCCCAGCCTTGTCTACGTAGTGAGTTCCAAGCCAGCTGGGGCTACACAGTGAGACCCTGTCTCAAAAAACAAAAAACCAAAACACAACTCCAAACAAAAAAAAAAAACATCCCCTCTGGTAAATGGGAGAGGAGCTTTCAAAAGTTTAATAGAGAGCTTGCTACTTCTGGAGACGTACTTTCTGTTTTATCAGAAGGTACACTGGTGGAAGCCTCAGTTAGGTGAGTTTACTCCATGGCTTGGAGAGAAGGGACTCTGCCAGTGCTGGCCACTGAGGTCATCTGCCCTGCCTTTGCTTCTGAATGGTCAGGAGTTCCTGCTGGGTTAGTCCTGTTGGGCAGACCTCTGACTATCCCTGTGGGTCTCCTCCCCTCCCCTCTGCTTCCCTCCCTTCCTTTTCCTCCCCTCCTCTCTCCTTTCTCACTTCAGGACCTCTGCTACCCACCTGTTCCTGGGGTGCCTAGCAGCCACACTCCTGCACGCTTGGGGCCTGTGTGCGCCGTGGTGACCGCAGCTGTCTCAGGGCAGCATCTCCATACTGGATGCCAGAGCCCATTCTCTCGGGGTCCAGTTCACCTGAGGACCAAGCATTTAGAGAGCAGCAGTAAGTCTGTGCTCCCCAAACATGATAAAGTGAACAAAGCAAAGTATGGACTCCTATGCATCTACGCCATTATCGTGAAGAGGAAAAATAGTTACCAATTTTTAAAAAAATAAATTCTTAGCCAGGTGTGCTAGTGCACACCTTTAATCCCAGCACTCGGGAGCAGAGGCAGGCAGATCTCTGTGAGTTCAAAGCCAGCCTGGTCTACATAGTGAGTTCCAGGCAAGCTGAGGCTACAGGGAGACTGTCTCAAAAAGATTTTTTTTTTTTTTTTGGTCTTTTTGAGACAGGGTCTCCTTGTAGCCCCAGGTGGCCTGGAACTCATTATGTAGACCAGGCTGCCTTCAATCCCATAGAGAGCTGCTAGTCTCTGCCTCCCGAGTGCTGGGATTAAGGGGGTGTGCCACCAAGCCTGGCTATTTTATTATTATTATTATTATTGAGAGAGAGAGAGAGACAGACAGACAGTGTACAGGTGTAAATGCATGTGGAGGCCAGAGGTCAACTTTGGGTGCTGTTCCTCAGGTGCTGTCTGCCTTGTTTTTTGAGATAGTCTCTCAGTGAGATCTGGGGTTCACAGATTCCTCAGTGTTGGGATTATAAACATGTGCCACTGCATCCAGATTTTTACACGGGTGTTAGGGATTGAACTCAAATTCAATCCTTGCATGACAGGGCTAGAGAGATGGTTCAGTGGTTAAGAGCACTGCTTGTAACTGGGCAGGGTGGTGCACACCTCTAATCCTAGCACTTGGGAGGCAGAAGCAGGCTGTTCTCTGTGAGATGGAGGCCAGCCTGGTCTCATAAATTCTAGGCTAGCTGGGACTACCCGAGACCCTGTCTCAAAAAAAACGGACTGAAGAGATGACTCAGTGGTTAGGAGCACTGGCTGCTCTTACAGAGGACCTGGGTTCAAGTCCTAGCACCCACATGGCGGCTAACAACTGTCTGTAACTCCAGTTCCAGGGGAATCCAATACTTTCTTCTGACTTCCGTGGGTATCGCACAACACGGGTGCACTGACATATACTCTCATACACTAAAAAATAAAAATAAAAAATAAAATACTGAAAACCTCCCCCAAACAAAAATCCCCAAACCAAAAAACAAAACAACTCCCCCCCAAAAACAAAAAAAAAAACAACAAAAAAACCTCACAAAAACCCCCAAACAAATATTTGCAAAGCAAGTCCTTTACCAACTAAGCTATCTCCCTAGTCCCTGGAAAATGATACCCATTTGTGTACATGGCATTAAATATTCCTAGAAAGATCAAGGACCCATAACAGTGGCTCACCTCAAGGAGTTTTGACTGGTTGAATATGGAACTATGTGAAAGTATTATGTATACAAAAATAAGCAAACTTGCCAGGCATTGGTGGCGCATGCCTTTGATCCCAGCACTTGGGAGGCAGATGCAGGCAAAAAAACAAAAAAATTAAGCAAATTTAAAATGAAAGGGCAGCAATAGTGGTTTCACTTCCTAGTTTGAAAACCCAACTGTGATCTCACCCTGGACACACCTGCCCATGACTAGCAAGTGCTCTGGGAACTTGTCTCTCTCACACCTCAGCCAGGTGTGAAGTGCTGTGTACAAGGTGCTTGACTGCAGCACTGCTAATAGCAGCGGGCAGGGGGCACTGCTGAGCTAGAGGCAAAACCTGTCGAAGAGAAGCCTGCCAGGGAAAGGCTGTCAGTCACCTGACTCAATTTTGTTAAGTATTTTCCTCGCACACTGCACGAAAGCCTCTTCAACGTTCTCGCCAGTCAGTGCACTTGTTTCCAGGAACATCAGCTCTGAAAGTGACATCAAAGATGTTTAGAAGAGGGTAATGCTTTTCAAAAGTTTTTTAAAAATTACATTCACTTATTTTGAGGGGAGCATGAACTATGGTGCCTGTGTGGAGGTTAGAGGATACCTCTCTGGTGTTGGCTCCCTCCTTCCACCGTGTGGGTCCTAGGGGTCGCATTCAGGTCCTCAGGCAAGCACCTTTGCTTACTGAGCCATCTTGCTGGCCCAATGACGTTGATTTTCAACTGCTAACAGGCTGCTTAAGATTCTTTTAGACTGGGGCTGGAGAGATGGCTCAGCGGTTAAGACCTGGGTTCAAATCCCAGCACCCGCACAGTGGCTAACAACTGTCTTTAACTTCAGTTCCAGGGGTTCTAATACCCTCTTCTTTCCTCTGTGGGCATTGTATGACACAGGTGCAGGCATAACACTCATACACATGAAAATAAATAATTACAAAAAAATTCTTAGACTAATTGGCAAAATGCAATTCAGGACATACACCCTCTTTTTCTATAAACATAGAATCAATAATGTATTAATATGATTTTTGCTGTTTTTTTTCTTTTTTTTGTTGGGACAGGGTTTCATGTAGCTGAAGCTGGCCTTGAAGTCCTAACCCTCCTGGTGGGATTATGGTATGTGTATGTCCAAATGTTGAAAAGTTATAATAGAGTCCAGCCCTTACTGAAGAATGACCATTATCTTGTGCTGGCCCTTGACCTGACAAGATGAAGTGAGCCACAGGCCTCCATGTGTTCCTGACCATCAGAAGGGGGCCAGCTGGCCAAAATGGTGACTTACAGCCTTGATTTCCTTCTCTGAGCAGTCCTCATGTTACCATGAATGCAGCTTCCAGGCTCTCTAGGGCACTGTGCTGCAAATTGCCATTCAGCATGAAGTCCCTTTATCTCCAGAACAGGGGCAGACCTCAGAGGAAAGCCTGCTGTGCCCTCACAGCTGTGCCATAGCCCCCAGCCTCTGGCCCTTATGTCCCGTGTGTGGGCTTCACCATGGGGGGTGTCAACACACTTTCGTCCTTCCTTCCTTCCTTCCTTCCTTCCTTCCTCCCTTCCTTCCTTCCTTCCTTCCTCCCTCTCTCCTTTCTTTTTCTTTTTGAGACAGTATTTCACTACACAGTCCTGGCTAGCTTTAAACTTGTGGTGTTCCTCCTGCCTCTGGCTTCTGAATGCAGGGATGCCATGCCTTGCTCATGTTTATTTCTTCATAGAAACCCATCAAGCTGGGAGAGCAGTTTCCCATCCTAGAGTCCAACAAAATGTGGTGTTAGGATGTTCTAGTTTGTGCCGGCCCTCAAAAATAAGGTTCTATAAGACAGATGAATGTTTGTTAGTCTATTGGCTATAAGCAACCACTAATTTTATGAGGTAGTCTTTTCCTTTTTTTGACAGGGTCTCCTATAGCCCTAGCTTGCCTGCCCACCTAAAACTTACAACATAGACTAGGCTAGCCTCAATCTCACAGAGATCCATTTGCCTGCCTCTGCCTCCCGAGTGCTGGGATTAAAGGCAGGCCCCATCATGCCTGGCTTGAGGAAGTCTGGACATTAAGAAATGTTATCCAGGCATGGTGGTGCATGTCTTTAATCTTAACACTGAGGAGACAGAGGTTGGCAGATCTCTGTGAGTTTGAGGATAGCCTACTGTACAAAGTAAGTTCCAGGCCAGCTGGGGCTATAGAGAAACCCTGTTTCAAAAACAAAACAAAACAAAAAAATAAAAAGAGGGTTAGAGAGATAGCTCAGCAGTTAAGACCACTTGCTCTTCCAGAGGACCCAGGTTTGGTTTCTAGCACCCATATGGCAGTTAACACCTGTCCTTAACTCCAGTTCCAGGGGATCCAATCTGATATCCTCTTCTGGCCTCTGTGGATACCAGGCACAAATCTTGCCCTTATATGCACGCAGAGATAAGGCAAAACACTCATATATAAAATTAAAATAAATAAAAGTTTAAAAAAATAAAAAAAAGATTACCAGCCAGTCACATCACCTCATCCTTTTTTAAAAAAAATATATTTTATTATTATTTTTTTATGTGTATGAGTGTTATGCTTGCATGTAGGTAAGTGCACCCATGTTGTGCAATGCCCTTGGAGGACAGAAGAGGCTGTTGGATCCTCTGAAACTGGAGTTACGGACAGTTGTTAGCCACCATGTGGGTGTTGGGATTCAAACCTGGGTCTTCTGCAACAACAGTCAGTGTTCTTACCCGATGAGCCATCTCTCCAGCCCCACCTCATCCTTATTTAAAACAAAGAAAGGAGACTGGGGCTGGAGAGATGGCTCAGTGGTTAAGAACACTGGTTGTTCTTGCAGAAGACCCGGGCTCGAATCCCAGCACCCACATGGCAGCTAACAACGGTCCATAACTCCAGTTCCAGGGGATCTGACAGCCTCTTCTGTCCTCTGTGGGCACTGCATGACACAGGTACACTTACCTATACACAGGCAATACATGCATACACATTAAAAAATAAACAAATTTTAAAAAAAAGGAGAAGGAAAAAAATGCCAGTTTCTATTAACCAAATGACGGCACTTGGCTGGTCAAATGTCTCTCTTCTATCTCTCTTTCTACCTAGGATCTTTATCAATTTTGTTTTGCCGGGCATGGTGGTGCACGCCTTTAATACCAGCACTCGGGAGGCAGAGGCAGGCAGATCTCTGTGAGTTCAAGGCTAGCCTGGTCTACATAGTGAGTTCCAGGACAGCTGGGGCTACAGAGAGACCCTGTCTCAAAAAGACCAAGAAAAAAAAAAAATTGTGCTGGGGTGGTGGAGCAGGTCTTTAATCCCAGCACTTGGGGAGCAAAGGTAGGTGAATCTCTGTGAGTTCAAGGCCAGCCTGGTCTATATAGTGAGTTTCAGGTCAGGTAGGGCTACAGGGAAACCCTGACTCAAAAATCAAAACACACACACACACACACACACACACACACACACACAATTGTGCCACCTCAAACCTACAAACATCCAGAGACCTACAAGTCATCACAGAAGGTAAATATCCTGATTCACACAGTGTGGTAACCTTTGTCAGCAGAGTGCACCACACTAAACGTGTGCTAAACTCACCTAAATTCATGGTGGAGATTCCACAGTTTCTTAGTTTAATCTAAAAATTCCACCAGATACCTTAAACCTAAAGAAAGGTCACTGCACCCAGGCCTGCCCTGTGAGAACCCATACATAAGAGGGAGAAGCACTTGCCGTTTTCTTGTGCGAACCTGGAGGCTTCAAGGAAGGTGACTTCACGGTCAGCGTCCAGGTCCTTCTTGTTGCCGCAGAGGATGATTACAATGTTCTGACTCGCCAGCATTCTGGCATCTGTTAACCAATTAGTAAGCGCATTGTAGGTTTCTCGGCTGCGTAACATAAGATTGTGGAAATAATACATGTATTTTATAAAACCAGCAACTCTTTTCAGTCACCCTCACCACTCACACTACTTGTCAACATTTCATCAAGGGCAATGAACACCTCAAAGGTGACTGAATATGAATGCCTGCCATATATCGGGCCCATGGGCTGTGCTTTGCTTTGGTTCCAGCAAAATCAGTGAGTCAGACACGTGGGTTCTAAAGGAAAAGGTGCTCTTCACTGGCTTCAGAAATGTGCTTGAGCTCTGAGCATGAGAAAGGCCGGTGCTGGGCTCTGTCACTCAGATTCAACACTAATAGCTGTCACCTGTGGACATGTGAACACCTTGATCCACAGGAAGCCACTACATTGGCTCTTTGCAAGGACCTCCTACCACGAAGAGCTGGGATCCAGAGGCACTATAAATGTGAAAGGACTGCCTGGTTTTGTCATTCTCTCATGGCAGCAGAGGATGAGGAGGGCCTTGCCAGGAGCTGCCAACCACCCTCAGAAGAGGGAGGCAGACACATGCTGATCTCTCCTGGGACAGGTCCCTCTCAGGAAGGTCCCCTCAGTAGAGTCCTGTGGGTCATGTGTTTCCAGGATAGTGGTTCCAACTCTGAGGCTAGTGGATTGAAGGGATTTCCTCAAGGACAGGAATATGCTGCAGCCGGGACCAGCCAACCCTGTGGTCACCAGCCATGTGTGGCATGGAACATTTGAAATGGAGCCAGAGCAACCCAGAAGTTTTTAAACTAAGTTGCCACATGCAGCCACCAACTACAAGTGCACTGTATTGACTGATTACCCTCCTGTTACAGATGAGGAAACCAAGATCAGAACAGGGAGGTCTAGGCCTGCTGGGGTCACACAGCCACTGACTGGAGCTGGGCTCTGAACCTAGGTGATCCACGTCGGAGTCTGCATCTTCAGCATCTCTATTCACTTATGAGAATGCACAGAGCTGTGTAGATCTTGAGGAACATGTCTCACGTGGTGTGAAGAAGAGCAATAAGGCAGAAGGCTTGCTTCTGACACCTCACACACATTTCCTGATGTGGCCAAAGTAGTGGTCAACACTAAAGGCCTCTAAGATCCCTAAGTGTCACACTCAGCTTCAGTTGTCAACATCATACATCTGAGAAGGACCCTTAATTGAGGAATTTTCTTTATCACATTTTCCTGTGGGCATGTCTGTGAGGCATTTGCTTGATTGCTAATTGATGTAGGAGAGCCAGCCCACTGTGCATGGCACCATTTCTAAGCAGGTGGTCCTGGGCTGTATAAGAGGTAGTTGAGGAAGCAAGGGAAGCAAGCCAGTAAGCAGCGTTCCCCCATGGTCCTGCTTCAGTTCCTGCCTTTAAGCTCCTGCCCTGGCTCCCCTGATGATGGATTATAACCTGTAAGCTGAAATAAACCCTTTCTCCCCAGGTTGTCTTTGGTCATGGTGTTTATCTCAGCAACAGAGAAGCAAACTAAAACACCAAGAAAGGGCCAAGAGGCTTCCTTGGTGCAGCTGCAGTGCCCATCTAGACTAAAACACATGACACCAGCATGTTGCCAAAGTGGCCTTAGTGATGCAGAGCGCCAAATGGCCTCTGTGGTGGGGAGCTGTCATTACCTGGTGATGTCGTAGACAAGGAGTGCCCCAGCCGCACCTCTGTAGTAGCTTCTTGTCACAGACCTGAAAGAATGAAATGAGCTCACTCCCAACCAATCAAGGTCCTTTACGGCTGCTCCCATTAAAAACCCACGTTTCTTTTGTGACCCACAACACAGGGGTAGGTACTGCTTCAATAGAGATATCTCAACTATGTGTGGTTATTTCGCTGGAAGTTGTATCATGGGGGGGGGAGGGAGAGAGAGAGAGAGAGGGTAGAGAGTGGAAAGAGAGAAGGAGGGGGGGGGGGAGAGAGAGAGAGAGAGAGAGAGAGAGAGAGAGAGAGAGAGAGAGAGAAAGAAAGCAGAGACAGCTCTGGGTGAACAGCTCTGGGTGAACAGCTCCTTTGAGAAGGCACATGAGGCCCAGGGCTCTGCAGGTAGCAGGGAGTGTGCCCAGCTGTAAGTGGTACCAGGCACCAAGCAGCCCCTCACATCTCTGCCTGCCACCTTCTGGTACCCTGCACTGATCCTTCTCAGGAAAAGCCCCAGATAGGAACAGCCTGGACCCCTGCCAGGAGCCCACACTCAACCTGTCCCCCTCACATCTTCCTTCACTTCCTGATCCACCTACCTCGACTAAGGGCATGACCTTTATTCATCTATTCTCAAAGATTTTCTCTTCAGTAATACCCTTTCTCCTCTATAGTTCCAACTTTGCTAGCTAAAAAAAAACTATTATTATTTGTATGTGTGTATGACGTGTGGTCACAAGTCATGCATGTATGTCACAGCATAGATGTGGAGGTCACAAGTCAACTTTTGGGAGTCACTTCTCTCCTTCCATCTGGTTTCTGAACTCAGGTGGTCAGGCAAGCACTTTTTAGCTTCTAAGCATCTCACCACCCCGTAGATTTTTTTTTTTTTTTTTTTTTTTGGTCTTTTTGAGACAGGGTCTCCCAGTAGCCCCAGCTGGCCTGGAACGCACTATGTAGACCAGGCTGGCCTTAAACTCACAGAGATCCACCTGCCTCTGCCTCCCGAGTGCTGGGATTAAAGGCTCCCCTGGCGCCTCCTACAGTCCGATCATGTTGCCAGCCTGGCCTTGACCCTCTGGGCTCAAGTGATCCTCCTGCCTCAACCTCCCAAAGTAGCAGAGACTGCAGGCACCACCACACTGCAGCCCCAACTTTAAATTAAAACGTGCTAAGTCTGCATTGGGGGAGTGACTTACTTTACACTGAATCTGAAACTATGACATGGTGACTCCAGAAAGCATGGCTAAGATGTTAACCTATTGTCTTGCTTTCCCTGTTATAGGATGCTAACTATGCAATCTGATTATCAACTGTTCTGAGCACCAGCTGTAGAAGACAAAGTGTCCTGTGTGATCACAACATTCTCCAGTTAGGGTGAGGGAGTAAAAACCCACGAAGGTGCTTAAAATTTCCTCTTAGATGAGTAAGATGGAAAAAGTTGTTTGTGCCACTGCTTTCCTTTGATTTCAGTCTAAAAGCACACTGTGGCTGGGCATGGTGCTGCACACTTGTCATCCGCACACTTAGGAGTCAGAGGCAAGAGGATCATGGGTTTGAGACTCCAGTCTGAACTACACAGCAAGACTCTGCCTCAAAATACCAAAGAAGAAGGAAAAAAAAACCCAACAACCCAGAATAAAACCAAAACAAATCCCATGGATACAGCGCCACATCCTCCTGATGGTGAGTTGTTGTCCTTTGAGATTCTGGTTACCTAGTTATCTTTTTCTTCCTATGCTAAGGATCTGGTCAGAGAGGTCTTAGCAGTGAGAGTTTCCAGAGCTAGAGTTTCTGAAATCAATGTGAGTATATGTGTGTGTGTGGTGGGGGGAGAGTATGTGTTTGACGATATTTGTGTATGTATGTGTGTGCACGTGTGAATGTGTGTTATGAGTGTGTGAGTTTATGTGTGTATATGTGTATTTGTGTGTGTGTTTCTTCGTATGTGTGTATGTGGGTATGTGTGTGTTGGCTTGAGACCATACAAAGCGAAGGAATCTAATGAAATATCTTGAATCCAATTCCCAGTATTCTCAGTGAACTAGAGGAACAGCTCTACCTGAATCGCTCCTGTCCGGCCGTGTCCCATATCTGTAACTTTACATATTTGCCACCAACATTTATTATCTTTGAGCCAAACTCCACTCCTATGGTATGATTTGAGTCATCTTTGACTAAAAAAGAAAAACAAAGAACAAAGAATTATACTTTAGAACAAGAGGGTAACAGCCTCACATATTTAAATAGCAACATTAAGATCAGGAAAGGAAAAATAAAATGAAAAAAAAAAAAAAACTCCAAACTCAAGGGCTGTGCAGATGGAAAAAGTGATTTGCTTGAGCTGTTTCACCTCTCCCACAGCAGCCTGGTGAACAGCACTGCCCTTCAAGCAAATCACACAATCCCTGTTTCCAAGGAGACAATAAGGAGTTTCCCCCAAGTTCCTAGTACACGGTAAAGTTACTGGGAGAGGCTACCCGAGATGCCCAGCTGTCCACTGTAAAGACTTAACCAGTGACTCACACTGGTGACAGTCTGACACCAGCCTGCCATCCGGTAGGGCAGGTGCCTGGTGACAAGATGGGCCCTGGGTCAATAGTGAGGTGGCTAAGGTGTACAGTTATTCCAAAGAAATAAGCACAGGTGAAGAGGGTTTAAGCCAGCTAAAGACTACCTGGATATCACACATTCCAGGACTCTGATTTAGGATGTGTCTGGGGTTGGGGGACTTTAAAAAAAATTATTTTATTTTACGTATATACGTGTATTGCCTGCATGTAGGTAAGTGCACCCACATTGTGCAATGCCCGAGGAGGAGTTATGACAGTTGTTAGCTGCCATGTGGGTGCTGGGATTTGAACCCAGGTCTTCTGCAACATCAACCAGTGTTCTTAACAGCTGAGCCATCTCTCCAGCCCCTAGGGGGACTTTTTTTTTTTTTAACCTATGTGTATTACAGACGCTGAGTGTTCAAGAATTTTAGCACTGCATGGCAAGGATATGAATGAGTTTATAGGAGAACAGAGTATAGCTCCATCAGAAATCAGTGCCACAAGGTGCCACATCTTTTTTCTAGAGGTATGAGAGGCTAGGCAGATGACTCCATCTGTCCCAGAGATACATGCAAGTGCGAGATTGGGCAGGATGCCCCCAAGGAGCATCCTTGAGGAGCATCGCAGCAGCAACCCAGGCGAGGGCATGCTGTGACCAATCAGGGAGAGATGGACCTTTCTCTGTGGCTATGGTCAAAGTTGGGAATGGGCATACAACTCTCCTGATTGCTGTGTTGTTTTCAGAGATGGCACAATGTCCATGTGGTCGTTTGAAAGAAATGTCCCCCATATGGCCAAGTATCTGAATACTTGGCCTCAGTTGGTGGTGCTGTGTGGGAGGGAGGGTTGGAGGTGTGTCACTGGAGGTGGGTTTTGAGAACGCATAGCCTTGCTGCACTTCCAGTCTGTCAGCTTTCTGCATGTGCTGGAAAATGTGAGCCTTTAACTTCTTGCTCCCACTGCCACTGGCCATGCCTCTCCATCACAATGGGCTCTTATCTCTCTGCAAGTATAAGCCACAGTAACACAAAAGTAATACACTAATACACCCATAAGCAGACACTTTAAATGTGTAAAGGAAATCATGTGTGTTGGTTCATGCCTGCAGTACTTGAGAAGCTGAGGCAGGAGGGTTGTCATGAAGTTGAGGCCAGTCTGGTTTACATAGTGAATTCTAGGCCAGCTGGACCTACATGGAGACCCTGTCTCAAAAGCTAACCAACCAACAAAACCAAACCAAACAAAAAATTAATTAATTAAATTAATGTGAAAAGAACTAGTTCTAGTGCTAACCAACACTGGAGCCTGTGCTGGGTAGAGGGTCTGACAAGCTCTTCATGGATAAAATTCCAGAAATTTCTTTTTACTCTCTTCCAAGTTTCTGTACTCTTTACCCTCCTTGAACCTGAGGGGTTTTCTTTAGGAACACTTCATTAAATCTCTTCTGTCCTCAACTGCCCTAAACCAGCAGATCATTCTCCACAGTTCTTCCTGCTATGACTATGGCTCTGCTTATTCTAGGGGCCCTTTGAAGCTACAGGCTTCCTCAGCCTCACCCAGTGTGGAACAGAGACTCAATCTCCTGGGTCCAGATGCTGCTAGTCAACATAAGCACATGGGGCTGTGGTTCAGAGTCCTCTGAGACAGGTGCTTCTCCCAGTGCATTTGCTGACCATTCCACTCTGCTTTGCAGCCTATGAACTAGGCTCAGGGACAGCAGGGCCTCAGAGGCACTAAAGGCTACCCAGGGCAATAAAAGGCTATAACCCACCCAACTGTGCTCCGAGGAGTAGCTGGTTACTCTACCAGGAAATGGGACCCCTGTTGAAGAACCCTTTGCTGTACTCACCAAACTGTTATCAGCACTTAGAATAAGAAAACACACTATACACTGAGCCACTATTTTTTGTTTGTTGTTGTTTCTGGTCTTTTTGAAACAGGGTCTCCCTGTAGCCACAGCTGGTCTGAACTGGCTACAGAGAGCATGCTGGCTTTGATCTTAGAGTGATCCACCTACCTGTGCCTCCTGAGTGCTGGTATTAAAGGCATGTGCCACCATGCCCAGCTCACTGACCCACTATTGAGCTAAAACACTAATAATAAAAACTCCATCATGTAAAGATTTTTTCTGTTGTTATTTTTGTTGTTTTGTTCTTCTGAGACAGGTCTCTATGTAGCCCCAGCTGGCCTGGAACTCACTATGTAGACTAAACTGATTTTGATCTCACAGAGGCCCACCTGCCTCTGCTTCTGGAATAAGGCATATACCACCACATCTGGTTTAGATTGTATTCTGAAAACCTTTACCTGAGGGCCAGGCATGGTGGTGCACACCTTTAATCCCAGCACTCAGGAGGCAAAGGGGTGAATCTCTGTGAGTTTCAGGCCAGCCTGGCCTACATAGTGAGTTCTAGGGGCTATAGGGGTACTCTTTCCAAAAAAAAAAGAATACAATCTAGCTGGGTGTGGTTGTGGTATACACCTTAATCCCAGCCATTGAGAGGCATGGGCTAGGAGATCTCTGTGAGATAGGGCTAGTCAGAGGAAGGTGGATCTCTGTGAGTTTGGGGCCCACCTGGTCTACATAATGAGTTCCTGGCAAGCAAGGAATATATAATGAAAACCTATCTCAAAAAAATGAACTAACAACCCCCCTCCCCAACCCTAAACAAAAAAACAAAACCCTACAACCTTGTAATGTATTTAAAAGTACCTTTACCCAGTGATACAACCTACATGTTACAATATGGACTTGCCAAAGGCAATATGTACCCAGTGGCGCAACAGAAGCATGAATGTTATGGGAGTAACCAACCACTTTGGGATTGGATCTGAGGCCTGCTCCACAGGAGGAATTCATGCCTGATACTGTAAACCTCCATGACTGGAGGGGTCATAGGCCTCAGAGGGGAACTTACTAATGTTAAATGGATGTGCCATCAAATTGCCTTCTAAATATTTATATTTATGTACATAGATCAGTGCTGTTCTCAACCTTGGTCAGAGACTTTTTTTCAGTGGACAGAGGTTAATGCAGAGACTCACAACTGGTCAAAGTATTGAGAATAAGTGACCAGTGCTCACAGAAGGGTAGGGTGGGGAGGATAGGAAGGAGTGCTGTGAAATGCTATCTTCTGGACATAACATGGCCACTGCACTCATGAACTCACAGCACTTGTGGTAAGTTATCTGTACAAGACCAATATGGATTGGGGGGGGGGTGCTCGTGAGCCCCCAGCTAGGAGTTGTTGGAAGTTAATGGCTTCTCAGGGAGGGAGAGTCATCATTCTTCAGGGTGTAGCCACTGGTGAACTGTCTGTTGCCCATGGTGCAGTAAATAATCCACACCCATGTATATGAAGGCAATCCTAATCAAAGTCAATAGGAGACAGCTGTAACCAGTCCAGCAAATTATCTCTATTGGTACAGTAGTGGCACCTTTTATCTTGGCAAAAATCAACAGCTGTCTAATGGGACTTAAGGCCTGCTCAGTGGGAGAGAATTCATTCATGGTATTAGAAACATAGCCAAGTACACATAGCTGGAGAGGTCATAGAGAAGAACTGTCACTTTCTAAGAGCAACATGATTTCTTACTATATTCTAAATATGCATCCTTATATAAACAGACAAGTGTAGCTCTCACCACTCATCCAAGAAGCTTCTTCTTGCAAGAGATGGAGATGATTAAAAGTTCCACAACTGGTCAAATGCAAAGAGTAAGTGACTGTAAGGTGCCCAACCCTAAGTGATGCATCATCTATAATGCAAACTCTAAACCTAAGGCTCAGAACATCATGGAAGAGAGGATGGAAAGAATGTAAGACCCAGAGGGACAAGACACCTGCTGCTAGTTAGTTAATACATTCTAGACACGATGGAGAAGCTGCACCAACGAAATCCCTACAGTATGGCAGTATAACAAGATCTGCTAAATGACAAAACCAGTTGACATGTCAATTTTGGTTGGGGAAAATTTCATGGGGCCCACCTCAAGATGAAGAGCTCCAGGCAACCAATGGATGCTGAGGAAGGGACTACCTCCCTAAGAGGCTGTCTAATCTCAAGTGGACAGCCCTAAACACAGGTAGGTACACATAAGCACCGCTAAACAGAGTTGGTGTATATTTATAAATGTATGTATGTATATGTAACAATAATAAAGAAGAGGATAAGAAACTGAAGGGGATAGGGGAGGAGCTGGAGGGGGACTGGGAGAGGTGGAAATAATACAAATACAACACTCATGTATGAAATTCTCAACGAATCTTAAAAGATTAAAAAATTCAGTGGGAGATATATAAATATATGTATATACATTTGACATATAGTATATATATATTATATATAAAGAAGACATGAAAGTGGGAAGGTGATGGGGGACATGGGATGAAGGGTCCTGGAGGGAGGAGGAAGATAAGGGGAATGGGGTGGATACAATCAAAATATGTTATATACATGTATGAAATTAAAGAAAAAAATTTAAAAAATATTGATTTTTTTATTTTGGGTGTATGAGTATACTGCCTGCATGTGTGTAAATGCACCTGTGTCATGCAATGTCGGAGGTCAGAAGAGAGCGTCATATTTGTCTGGAACTGGAGTTACAGATGGTTGTTAGTTGCCATGTGGGTCCTGGAATCAAACCCAGGTCCTCTGCAAGAGCAGCCTGTGCTCTTAATCTCTGAGTCATCTCTTCAGAGCAATAAAAGAAATGTTTTTAAAGTACTTTTTTTTTCTTTCTTAAGTCAGGGTCTTACTATCTAGCCATGGCTGGCTGGGAACTTGCAGTGATCCTCCTGTCTCTGCCTCCTGAGTGCTGGGACTAAAGGCATGCGTCACCATACCTGGCTTTAAAAAGTACTTTTAAACTATGAAATTCCCCCTGAAAACTCAGAAGCTTTCTTGTGGGCACAGTGCTCGGGTGCTCACAGACACAAGAGCAGGACTGCTGTCACTTACATTTTTTTTCAATGAACTGATGAAGTAAGCAAGATTTGCCAGTTCCCGCATTTCCGATAACCAAGAATTTAAACAAGAAATCTGAAAGACAGAGACAATGAAAAATCACTTTAAGATGGGAGCTGTGAATTCACTCAGACTATGGACATAAAATTTAATGAAGTGATAGTTGTTAATATAGCAAGAAAAGAGGTAAGTGAATCTTTTGTGAAAATAATATACATTGACTTACCTTTTCATATTTACATATTTCTTTTGCATTTACCTATTTTTGAATTTTCACCTATGCTAAGTTGGAGCTTTTCCAAGCTTTCTTTGGACAACTGTTTTAGAAGGTAGAAGGTTGAAGATTACTCTTTTTAATTTTATTTTAATGATTTTAATTTTACGTGTATGAGTGTTTTGCCTGCATGTAAGTGCACTCGTGTTGCGGCAATGACTGTGGAGGTCAGAAGATGGTGCTGGAGTCCCTGGAACTGGAGTTATGGATGGTTGTAAGCCACCATGTGGGTGCTGGGAACTGAACTACAGTCCTCTGGAAGAACAGCAAGTCTCCTTAACTGCTGAGCCATCTCTCCAATCTGAAGATTACTCTTAAAACTAGCTCCTGCTAGCCACTACTTAAACAAATATGTAGACTCAGTTGCAGGCACAAATTGCCTAAGAAGCTTCAAGTACCTGCAGTACAAAAGATCAGGACTTAGAGACTCTGAGAAGCCTGCCCTGTCTTCTCTTTCCTCACAGGAGCGAGCTCCTGTGCTTGTGGATCTGTAGGCCACTTCTCAACCCTCAACTGTAATTCCTGGAAGGACAGCGTGGGCCAAGTACTGGCTGCATACCGAGTATGTGACTCCATGTAGACAATGTCTTCCACCTCTTAGTCATACATTTAATTTGGGATATTATTTTTATAAGATAGGAATAAAAGACTTTCAAGATGAAATTTGTTAATTAATGTGAAGTACATTCAGGAACTCAGGGTCCCATGTAACCCAGGCTGGCCTCAAACTCACTATGTAGCTGAGGCTGGTCTTGAACTCCTGATCCTCTTGCCTCTGCCTTCTAAGTGCTAGGATTACAAGTACACCACCACATCCAGCACTTCAACTGCTTTTTCTTTAGTAAGAACTCTAGTCCTCCATAGTTTGGGCACTGCACACCACCCTCTCCCTCTGACCAGATGCACCAAGCCTAGTCTCACCTTGGCCCTGACCCATTGCAATATAAGCCCTGCCTGGCACCTGTGGGCTGTTATTCCTGGCTCCCCACCTAACATCCTCATCCCTCTAACCCTGTACTCCCCCTGCCACTGCCCCATTAATCTGAGACAGCCGCTGGTGCTTGGCATGGCCTTGTCACCAGTTTCTAAGAACTATATATAATCACCACCCAGCAGAGATTAAGCCTATTCAGTCTCCCATGATGGCTAAACAGTTACAGACAATAAACTCCCAGAACGGCACTATTAGAATTGTGCCAGCATTTAACAACTACCAACTGCAGCTTCTCACTACACTTTGTTGTTGCTTGTTTGTTTTCTGAGACAGGGTCTCACTATGTAGTCCTGGCTAGCCTGGAACTTGCTGTGTCGATGCTTATCCCAGGCTGGCCTCAGAGATCTATCTGCCTGACTACTGGGATTTAAAGGCACATGCCACGAAACATTCAACTTCACTGCATGTTTTCTAAGGCACGCTCTAGTGACTTCTTGGAGATGCCCACACCCATGTTCTCAGATGTGTTTTACTTTCTTCCTGAGCCTTTCTCTTAATCCTCATACTTAAAAATCTATATTAAAGATGTTGATTTTATTTTATTATTACTTTTTATAGTATGTTTATGAGTGTTATGCCTGCATATATGTAAATGCACCCATGTCATGCAATGTCCAAGGAGGTCAGAAGTGGGTGTTGGATACCCTGGAATTGGAATTACAGATGACTGTTAGCTGCCCTTTGGGTGCTGAGATTCGAACCTGGGTCCTCTGCAAGAGCACTCAGTGCTCTTAACCACTGAGCTATCTCTCCAGCCCCCAAGATTCTTTTATTTTTATTTTTTGAGACAGGGTCTCCCTGTAGCCCCAGCTGTCATGGAACTCACTATGTAGACCAGGCTGGCCTTGAACTCACAGAGATCCTCCTGCCTCTGCCTCCCGAGTGCTGGGATTAAAGGCATGCGCCACCACACCTGGCAAAAGATTTCTTTTTTTAAAAAATAAACTCCGACTCTGGTTCAAAGTAGTTATACTCATGTTCATAGTAACCAAAGGGGGAGGCCACACAAGCGTCTATGAGTAGACAAACAGATAAACAAAATGTAGTACATCCATATGATGGAATGGTACTTGGCCTTAAAAAGGGAAGACTTTCTAATACCTGCTACAGCAGATGAACCTTGAGGACATTAGTGACAAGCCAGTCATAAAAGGGCAAACACTGATGATTTCATTTATCTGAGGTCCTTATTGTAGACTCAGAGTGGGGTGGGGGTTGCCGGGGGTGAGGGTGGGAGTGGAGAGTTGTCATTTCACAGGCATGAGCCTCAGTTTAGAAATATGAGCATTCTGGAGATGAGAGGTGGTGATTACTGTATTAAGAAACACGACTGTACTTAATGCCATTGAAATATATGTTCAAAATTTAAGTTTTTAATGTTTTTATGTGTGCATATGATGTGTGTACACCACATGTGGAGGTCAGAGAAAAATCTTAGGTATCAGTCTTTGTAGTTCTTGTTTCCACCTTGCTTGAGACAGAATCTGTTTGTCATTAGACCCAACATAAACCAGCTATCTGGCTTGAGAAATTCAGGGGATCCTCCCATCTTCGACTCCTACCTCCACCTCCTATCTCCACCTAGGGTTACAGATGTGTGCTACTGTGCTTGACTTTTACGTGGGTGCTGGGGATTCAAACTCAGGTTCTCAGATTGCCACACAACTGATTGTAACTCCAGCTCCAGGGGATCCTTGGTAGACACACACACACACAAATAAATAAATAAAACAAATAAAAACAAATAAACAAGGCCAAACCTAATCATTCTTACCAAATAGCTTTTACAACCCAAGAAAGTGGAGGAGAGATGGTCGATTTCCAGGTAAAGGGAACTGGGATTTCTTAATCTTCTTCAACAGTCTCTTTTGTTAGGAAATAAAGTTGTATAAGTTGTAAAGAAAAGATAAGGAGAGAACCAAGTATTCGGTCTATTGTTGCTCTGGGCATGGGGGCTGGGAATGAATCAGGTAAAGAAGCTGGCAATATGCAGACAAAGGGAAATTATGAGTGAAGGTTGCATACAACACAGTCTAAAGACTCAACTGCTCCACACACAGGAACAGAGAAAATGAGCTGTGCAAATCCCTGTGATTCTGGACCCTAAACTCAGAGCTGGCCATGCACTTTGACACAGATTTGCTGGACTGTTCTCCACAAGCTAAGTGCTGATTTGCACCATCACCACACCTGGCCAAAGTACGACCCTTTGCACCTTGAAGGAGGAAGGACAGGCAAGATGCACATCTCACAAAAACACCAAAGAAAGGTAAGAGGTTAGAAACAGACCTTTCTGTCTGGAACCCAAAAATGATGGAGCTTTTAGGAAGGAACAGAATATCTGCACTGCTCAGATAGAGGAGCAGCAGAGTGCGGCCTTGGGAGGGGCTCTGTCTTGGTCTCCATTTGGAAGAGCAGGAGCCAAGAGCTGCCTGAGCTCTCCCTAGGACTGGGCTGGAGCTTGGGGGTAGCTGGTAAAACACACTCCTCTCAGAAGGGAAACCTTCCTGTGTGGAAATGAATTATCACTGATACTGTAATTATTGCAGACAATAAATCCTAAGTCAGGAAATTAAAAATAAAATGCCCCATGTGCTGAATAGCTTTAGTGTCAACTTGACACACCTGGGTTGAGGGAGCCTCAACTGGGGAATTTCCTTCATTGGACTGGCCTGTGGCTGTGTCCATGGGGCACCTGCTTGATTGTTGAGTGATGTGGGAGGGTCCAGCCCACTGTGGGTGGTGCCATCCCCGGGCAGGTTGGGCCTGTGTTGCATAAGCAAGCAGGATGAGCAGGGGCCAGGGAAGCAAGCCAGTAAGCAGCATTCCTCCATGGCCTGTGTTCCAGCTCCTGCCTTCAGGTTCCTGCCCTGAGTTCCTACCTTGGGCTCCCTAATGAACTGTGACCCAGGAGATGTAAGCTGAATAAACCCTTTCCTCCCCAAGTTGGTAGTGGTCAGAGTGTTTTGTCACAGCAATGGAGAAATAAACTAGGACACCCCTTGGGTACCTGCAGGAAGCAGTGCAAATTGCTCTGGAAGGACACATCCTGATCTGAGACATGCAGGGTTCCCAAACACAGTCCTCTGAAGATAAGTTTACAACTTAAAACTACAAACACCCAAAGAAACAACCCCTTGGGCAAACATTATGTTAAGTGACATAAGTCAGTCAAAAAAGGGCAAGTGTTGATGACTCCACTCCCATGTGAGATCCCTAGAGTGTCTGAATTCATACACAGAAAATAGGCACTGGGATCCAGAGGGGAGTGTGCATCAGTGTCTCAATGTGCAGCTTGTGCCTTCAGGATGAATGATACCATGGAGATGGAATTTAAAATGAAGAAGCAACAAGAGGCTTGAAAGGATGGGCAGATTATTAGAGTCTAGATGGCCTAGGAGGAAAAATGACAACCATTAAATGGAGGTTCTCACGGGGCCTGGCTACATGGGAGGATGGCGCAGGAGGAATACAAGTTCCAGGGCAGCCTGGATGACAGAGTGAGCTCAAGGCCAGCCCAGAAAACTCAGTAAGACCTTGTCTCATAATGAAAATGAAAGGGCTGGGGATATATTAATAACTCAGTGGTAGAGCACTTATTTGCCTAGCATGTGCAAGGCCCTGAGCTCAATCTCCAGCACTGAAAACAAACAAAGCCAGTTCTCAATGGTAAGTTAAAAAGCAAAAATGGACAAAATGGAGAGAGAATGAAATGGTAAAATTGACTCCATTTTATTCTAGCTGACTTTTGCTCATCTGTGTTTCTGCCCCCTCTAACGCATCCAGACAGGCAGAACTGGTCCCATG